GATAAGACATTAATTCATAATACTTACAAGGTCGAGGATCCTGTCCGGATCTTAATGCTGGTAATTCTTTGTAAATGTCACAATTCTCTTTATCTCTTGATAACCAACTATTACATATAAAAGTCAATTTTTCTTTACTGTCTTTATCTTCCATTATAACCTATATGAAAGTGGCAGTAGTATAATGACGTAAAGTAGTGTTTATAATAATAACATATTTATATCAGGCATAATGGAAATACAATGCATAAATTTATAAATATCCAGATTCTGTGTCATGATTGGTCAATACTTAGTCAAATGAGATATTATAGAATTACGCTATCTCACACACATAAACAATTTCAAAGTGACAGCACTTTGGGAATGGTGGACACACTATTTAAGACAAGTCATTGAAAATGACACAGTCCCCGTTAAATTTTTGAAAGTTCTCTTTGTGCTCATCATATTAAAGCGGAGGGGTTGTCGCGAGCGTGTCATTGAAACTTGAGTTCCAAGTGGCGTATACAACAGATTGTTTATTTACATCAAAACACGTGTTCCGTGTAGTAGTAATATGGCCAAAAATAAAAACAGCCGTTATTTGGCCATCTTTTATCTGATTATGAAACACACTGATATGTATGATGTATGTGCCAAATATGAATGAAAATGGTACATAAATTGTGGAAATATAGTAGTAAAGCCAAAAAGTCAGATGGCTGTCAATCGGCCATCCTTGACGGGATTTTGAAACAAATTGCCATGGACATGCATCCTAACATGTATAAAGTACATGTATGTGCCAAATTTGAATGAAAACTGACAGAGCACGTCCAAGATACTGCATAAAAAAACAAAAACAAGATGCCTGCCAGTCGACCATCTTTGATCCAATTGCGAAATAAATCGTCATGGACATGTATGCTAATATGTATAATCTTTGTACCAAGTTTGAATGACAACTGACAAAGCATGTCCAAAATACAACATTTTCAAAAAACAAGATAGCTCCCAGTCGGCCATTTTGAATCGAATCGCTAAGTCCCACATAAGGTACTAGGCACATGCAAAGATTGAACGGAAGCGGTCCACAGGATTCTGAAATATGACTCTGGACAGACTGATGCACAGACTGATTAACAGACGAACGGACACATGAACGGACGGACGGACGGACGGACGGACAGACTCAGGAACTCATGGACGGTCGGGGACATGTATCCTAACATGTATGATCTATGTACTAAATTTGAATAAAAACTGACAAAGCATGTCCAAAATACAACATTTTCAAAAAACAAGATGGCTACCAGTCGGCCATTTTGAATCAAATCACTAAACCACTGCATGTGCATATGTCCCACATAAAGTACTAGGCACATGCAAAGAATGAACGGGATTGGTCCAAGGGATTCTGAGATATGACTCCGGATGGACACACAGATGAACAGACGCACGGACAGACGGAGACCGAATTATAGTCCCCGTTTTTCGGACTAAAAAGCATTGATGGAAAACAGACATATGCTACTACTCTAAATAAATTTAGAAGAAGATACTATCAATTTAGTGCAATAGCACAATTGCTCAGCGCAAAACTTTTCTGTTTTGTGCAGATATTTCTCAAAAGTACTATTGACATACTGCATTTAGACATACATGTACTTTGTTGTAGTCTTGCTGTAGGCTGCATTTTGCCACTCGCAGTAAAAGTTGGCTAGTTTTTTAAGTACATCAGTGTGAAGGTGTTTGCTGCAAAATGTTCAGGGTGAGATATCCCTTTATGCAATTAGCAATGTAATAGTGTTTAAAAGATCTGAATAAAGTGAGGACATAATGATGTTTTTGTTGTTTTTGAGTTGCACTAGAAATGTTTAAGCATTAACTGTATTTTAAATTTAAATTCTACTTTGATTGAACCAATTAGGCACACTTAGTCAATTAAGCAGTAATATGAATTCACACAATACTTACTTTATTTACATGCCATGCTGGTTCTTCACTAGTGTTATCATGCTCCAATCTTATCTTGTAAATTTCACCTATTTCACCAACATTGATCTAAATATAATAAAAATATAGTAAAAATCATGTCAAAACCTAATTCTTCTCCATAGATCTGCTTACATGAGAAACTGATACAGAAGTTAGTATTTTTACTTCAGATTTCACTGAATGAAACAAACTATCTAGTTTGATGATAACATAATACACAAGGTAAGAATAAATGACTTGCCTCAAAATCTTTTTCCTCAGCTGGTCTTATTTCACCATTGTTGAGTGGAATGAGTTCCTTTTTGTTATCTTTACCATATACACTGATGAAAACATTAGACTCAGTGCCTGCATTCTCACCATCACATGTTTTCACCAATACCTTCCAATTACCCTCTAAAAGAATGAAATAAATTAAAACATCTCATTGTCATTGTCAGTGTTTAGTGACTGTGTCAATTATAAACAACAACAAAATTTATAGAAAAAGCAGCCTCTCGACTGAGATAGCTCCGCTGTTAGAAATGCACATTTCAATTAAAGAACTGAAGATAACATTGAAATGAACAATATGTTGTATCAAGCAATCTGACTTGCTGTTTTCAACAAAATTCGAAAATATCACTTTTTACCAAAATGACAAAATATTCATCCAAATTAGAGAAGGAAGATATCATCATGAAATGACAAATTTGAGAGAAGATCATTTGTAGCACCTATATGTATAATATCAAAGCAATCAGACTTGTGATTTTTAACAAGAAGTCCAAAATATCACTTTTTACCAAAAATTACAAAAATATTCACCAAAATTAGAGAATTGAAGATATCATCATGAAATGAACAATCTAAGAGGTCTACCCAATGTACATACACACCAAGTATCAAAGCATTCAGGCTTGTAGCGTTCAAGAAGAAGTCGAACAAGCAGCCTCTCGGCTGAGATAGCTCCGCTGTTAGCAATGCACATTTCAATTAAAGAACAGAAGATATCATTAGAAATGAACAATATGTTCAGTATCAAAGCAATCTGACTTGCTGTTTTCAACAAGAATTCGAAAATATCACTTTTTACCAAAAATGACAAAAATATTCATCAAAATTAGAGAAGGAAGATATCATCATGAAATGAACAAATTTGAGAGTGGTACACATGTATTACCAATATATGTAATATCAAAGCAATTGGACTTGCGGTTTTATACAAGAAGTTGAAAATATCACTTTTTACCAAAAATGACAAAAATATTCACCAAAATTAGAAAATTGAGGATATCATTACAGAATGAACAAATCTGAGGGAGGTCCACATGTAGTACCTATATATGGAATATCAAAGCAATTGGACTTGCGGTTTTTAAGAAGAAGTCGAAAATAAAAAATTTTACCAAAAATGACAAAAATATTCACCAAAATTAGAGAATTGATGATATCATTACAAAATGAACAAATCTGAGAGAGGTCCACTTGTAGTACCTATATATGTAATATCAAAGCAATTGGACTTGCGGTTTTTAACAAGAAGTTGAAAATATCACTTTTTACCAAAAATGACAAAAACATTCACCAAAATTAGAGAATTGAAGATATGATCATGAAATGAACAAATCTGAGAGAGGTCTACCCAAGGTACATATACACCAAGCATCAAAGCATTCAGGTTCGTAGTTTTCAAGAAGAAGTCGAAAAAGTAAAACATTGACACGGACGACGGTCAACAGACGACGGACAATCACTTATATGATAAGCTCCGCTCGACAAAATCGACAGAGGAGCTAATAAATTTTAATAAAACAAGCCGTGCATGGCACAGTCCCCGTTAGTTATAAAATTTAAGATATATAGTTTTGTTGATAGTAATATAGCTGGAATATAACCATGTCAGGAATATGATTTTTTAATATTAAAATGATTGACATTTGTATCTAATCGTCAAACAAGTACTTGTCCATATTGAGAGATATTGCTCTGGAACAGCATTCAAAATCAGCCATTTTGAATACATGTATATATATAACATGATGTATAATGAATATACATTGTATAAAATTTGAATATAATCAGTCAAGCATTTAAGAGATATGGCTCTAGAAGCTGGATCATTAAAACAAAATGGCCGCCAGTCAGCCATTTTGAATCCAATCTGAAAAATAAAATGACA